CAAGTATTTTTTGGGCCTTTAATGGACAGGACAGTTGAAGAGAGACAGGAAGCAGAGGGCAGAGAGAGGGGGAATGACATGCAGCAAAGGGCCAACGCTTTTAAAAACACTATTGTTCATAAAAGATATTATTTGGAAAGAGACAAGAGGTCGGGGAGTTGTTCAAATGTGAGATATAAACATTTAGAATGAGATTTGTCTCTGATAACACTTCACACAACTGGTTAGAAAGGATGTGATTGGCTTGGGGGCACCTTCAACCCATCAGCAACACAAACTCAGTATTCCAGTCAGTGAGGTTGAAGTAAAAGTGAAATAAAGATGAGCTCCTCAGGTGTGAAGGCGACGGGACATAAACCATGGAGCAGCTTCACACTGTGGGGGGATAAGGGACAATAAGCACCGAGGACAGTTCGTCCAGTAGCAGGACACATGACACATGACCTGACAGTAACATGTTAAATCTAACATGTTCTCAGTGTGAGAACAAACCCACCTGCACTTCTCTCCATCGCCACCAGGTGTCATTTACATTCGTTTACACTGCGCCGTGTGTTTTATTCAAGTTTATTATTTTTGCAGAAATGTTCTGACTGAATCGATGAAATGAAAAGTATTTTTTTTAATCCAAACAAAACCATGAGAAAACACTTTATTAAAGTTAAAGATCTTCAACAGAACAAAATCAGAAAAGCCCGAAAACTGAAACCAACAAAGCTTAAAAAAACAAAACGACTGTTATATTTTCTCCCGATATTCTTTTTTTTATAGTCTCTACAGTCCAGTTTCATATTGCATCGTCTCCTACATCACTCAAGGCCACGTTTAAGAATTCTAACTTCAGTCCTGAGATGATCACTCAGCTGCTGATTGAACATTATTAACAATCCCTCCTTTAAACTCTTTACGACTCATGTACACATGTAAACACAAACAAGGTGCAGATAAAGTTCCTCCACTCAAGACGCCCCCTGAAGCTCAGCCCGCCACTCACCTGACGACCAGGCGGTTTGAAAGTCACTGATTGCAATCGATGTGGATCAATCTGATGATCAATGATCAAGAGGTGAAAAAACACAAATATAAAGCAGCAGATGATCAGATGACTGATCGATTGATTGATCAGCTCAGATCATGAGGTCAAAGCAGGAGGTGACTTTTCTATTTTCAACCATCTCTGTGTCTTCAGAGAATTAAGTAAGTTTAACAGGAGCTCCTGCTGATAAAGAGATTGTGGAGCTTCATCCATTCGTCAACTGATCAGTTGATGGACAGGAACCGTTTTAATAATGAACTAGTTGGACTCCTGCTGTCACAGTGTCCCTCTGACACTTTGGTCAATCGATCGATCAGTAGAGAATCGTCATGTTCATCAGCAGCTAAAGCTAATTACTGACGGCAGAGGAAGAGTCCTGGCCGGGACTCCTCCTCATCTGTTAACCACCGATAATTGTTTGTGTAGAAAACAGAGAAGAATCAAGACAACGTCACATCACTGTGAGCAGTTTTAACGTTGAGGTGTGGTTTGAGCAGTAGGGGGCGCCACACTGTTCTTCAGACCACAAGAAGAAACATGAGTCAAGATTTTCCTTCAAAACAGTTTGTGACTCCATCTTTAATCCAGAATCCTTCAGTAACCATTTCTCTGAACTGACTCATGATTCTGAAGCTTCAGAGGTCGGCAGTTATTTCTCTACATGAAGAGAATCGGCCCTGGTCACATGATCAGATCAAGCTGAAACTGATCCAATGAAGCGTCAGTGTTTTGAAGGAAATTCTGATCTGCTGTTGCATCATGGGAGCAGCTTAGGTTTACGTTAGCATGAGTTTCACACACAAACACACACACACTCAATTGTCGATGAGGCTTCTCCTATAGATCGGCACATTAATGCTATGGAACGCTGGTACCCAGCGGTTGTCATGGAGACCCACATTGCAGCCAGGCGCATCCCTGTGAGCGCCATGGCAACACATCCAGTACCCGGGGCCATACGGCAGCGCCTGGCAATACGGCTTGTGATGCCAGCGGCAAAGAGACACGTCGCCACGGCCGTACCTCTTCTTGCACTGCTTGCAGGGGTCATCGCTGTAACGGGGGTCGGACACCCAGAGCGAGTCAGCGGGCCGGACGCCGTAGTTCTCGATGACAAACTTGAAGTAGAGGCAGGTGCACTTGAGTGCGGCGAGGCTTTGTGTCGGCAGCAGCAGGAAGATCTTCACAAGCAGGTGATGCGGCAAGACGGCCAGGTACGGTTGTGGCTCCAGCAGCTGCTGCAGCCGCTGACGCATTTCCAGGAAGTCCTGCGACACCGATGCACGGCGGCTCAGCAGCATGGCGTCAGAGCAAAGACTCGCACCTATAACTTCCCCTTCCTGACACCCATCAGCCTTTCTCCTCCCCCTATTATCTGATTGGCTGTCAGAGTTAGGAGAGTAACCTAAGGCAGGGGGGCAGGGCTCTGTGAGGAGAGGGGTGGGGTCTGAATCAACAACAGGAAGCAGAGACAAAAACAACAAGCCGGGCGGAGGCTCCGTCTCTGTGCCACTGCACTGCATGTCCCCCCCAACCTCCCCAGCCTTATCTGAGAAGAGCGAGGGGGGCGTGTCAGGTGAGGGGGTGTGGTCAGAGCTGAGGCAGGTGTCTCTAAACGACGTCTTTGAGCAGCTGATTGGACTCTGAGCTCCCAGCAGCGATGACAAAGAAGCTGATGATGTCATTGATAGTGTCACAGATGATGATGCTGGACGGGATGGGGCAGAGCCCTGGTCCCCAGCGGCGAGCAGGACTCGTCCCACCGTCCTCCTCAGGCTGTTGTTCCTCGACAGATCTCCCTCCGTCCTCCTCTTCAGACACTCCGACTCCAGCTTCGCCACCATGTCAGACACACTGATGCTCTCCAGCTCCTCCACACTGACCTCTGAGCCCTGCCTGGCTTCGGGGGCTTGAGGTCTGTAGAGCGTGATGGTGGTGGAGCTTCTCTGGACAGCAAGAGCAGGTTTACTGTCTATCTGCTGCTCGCTCGTCCTCTGCTCTAGGAATGCCACCATCTCCACCACTGACACCTTCTGCTGCTCTTCCTCTGTCACCTCCTCGCCTTCATGCCGCCTGACCTCTGACCTCTGAGGTGAATCGGAGCGCTGTGGAGATGGCTCACGACTGTGTTGAGTATCCTGGACTCGGGGCCTCTGGCACTGATTGCTGCCAGACCTGCGGCGTCGTTTGGCGCTGCAGTTCTCCTGCCAGCTCCCCTTTGCCTTTATGGTGCGTGTTTGACACGACACGGCCGCATGGTTTGCACACACTGGCAGCGTCCGGTCCCAAATGCCTGAGCTGCTGATGGAGGTGCTCTCACTGCCCACCGCCTCTATCCCTCCTCCCTCTGATGCAAAGATGGCGATCTTCTCTCGGACATGTCCAGGCCTGATGACTGTCCAGATGTCCAGCGGGGCATCAGCGTCTTCAGTGGCGGTCTGGTACAGTCTGAGTCTGTCATTCCTGCCGCCTAATGGTGGGGGAGAGAGGAACTGCAGGGCGGAGCCGCATGGCGGCTTCAGCCGCAGCGACGCCACACTGCTACTGATGTTGCCGTCTGTTGTGTTGCCAAAGCAAAGCGGGTCGGTCGAGATGACGCTGAATGGATGCCGGCTGCTACTGATTTTGCCATGTTTACTGCTGCAGGTCTTTAGCAGCTCCCCCTGTTGGCTCACAAACAGACTGTTCCGCTGGGATGATGTCTGAACACTGGCCGCATCCAAACGTAACTCGGAGCGCATGAGCTTTGGATGTGACTTCAGATGCATGATGGTCCTGAGAGGGAAAGATAGAAAATAGGATGAATATTATCTCACTGATGTTTGTTCGTGTTTCTGATCAGTTTGGTTTGAATGAGTTATTTGATGATATGGCAGCGTTATAGTATGAAAACAGACGCTTTTCTGAGTGATGCTGTACGAGCGCTGGTTGGTTTGCAGTTGTCACACTCAGGTCTATTGCATCTGTTTCTGTCTCGAATGCTCTGTATCACTCTGTGTTGGTTAATGGAGAAGAAGACGAGAGGTGGTAATGCACCTTGACGTTTGTTTCCACCCGCCAATTAACAAAAGTTTATAGGTCAATGCGAAAACATTCTAAACCTCAGCAACGTGTTGTGATGACAAACGTATAAAAGAAACAGTCACGTGACGCAGCCTGGAGAAGAAATGACTTCCTGCTCACATCAGCCATTTAAACTGACTGAGCTTCTTCGTGGTCACGGCCTCAATGTTTGAGCAGATGTTTCCTTTGATTTACTGGTATGACCTCCGACCTCAGTGTTTTCAATCTGTTTCTGGCGCTCATCAGTCTCTGACTTCAGGATGTGTAATCCTAATTGTTCCCTGTCGCAGTGACGATGACTCGCCTGCAGTGCTGCACATCTGCACAGACTGCTCTTTTGTGACAATTATTTTCTTACATTCTACAGAGAGAGAGAAGTACATTTACATAACAGTGGATGAATCAGTCTAATCATTCCAACACATTCTACACTATTTTATTAGTTCTTTTACTTCATCCACTACTTTGCTTCTCGATGATAAAGTCTTAAGAGTTCATATATTGATTAAATAAAAAAAGTCTTCTTTCTGGTTCAGCCCAATGCTCCTGCAGTGTTTTGGGGGGACTGGGTGTGGGGTAGGAGTGGATTGTGTAACCACAATGAGTCAAGTTTTATACAAACACTCATTTTTTATGACATTACATCACCAGTGATGTCATCCTACAAACTAGAAACATGCACAGCAGGTTTTAGAGCGTGTGTGTTCAGGTCCAAGGAGTTCAACACAGCAGAATTCATGTTATGAAAATCTTTATGAAATATTCTTCTCATGCAAGACTTCATTTCTTAATCTATTAAAAACTCACAACATTTCAACAAGCAGGTAACTAAGAACTGCAGTGGTTCTGACCTTCAGTCGGATTAGCCCTTTCTGAAAGAATACTACATTACCCATGAGCCTCCTCCTATGAAGGAGCCCAGAGATGTGACGAGGTCTGGCTGTTTGTTGGTGAAATGCACCTTGGGAGTCGTAGTTAAGATTTTATTTAGTAAGAGAACTGAAAGAGTAAAACGACCAAATCCAAAGAGAACCCAAACAATGTGGCGTTTGTGTTAGAGAGCAGTTACCTCCAGGCTGTTTGCTGATTGGTTGGCAGTGGTGGATGGCGGTGTTTTCCTGGTTTGAGTGACAGCTCCTCTGATCCTGCAGCTTCACATATCTCAAACGTTCACGGTGAGGCCTCCCCCCCCACAGGAAACAAAACCAGACGATTGAGACTCCTCAAAGGTCAGGACACAAACAACCTGCAGAAAAACAAACACACACACAGTCAATTAACAGCAGTTAACAAACAAACGTCTGTGATGACAAGGATTTTACAGGTGGAGTTTGTGTATGTTTTACAGTACATGCGTGTTACAGTGCGTGTGTGTCCCAACACCCAGCAGGTAAATGTCTGAGTCAGTGTCTCTGGACATGTTCTGGATCTTCTCCTGCAGCCTCTAGTAAAACATCTGTAAAATGTCGGATTGAGTCCATGAGAGAAAACATCTGGAACCTTCCCAGTGAGCGAGTGGACGTGTTGATGACGGACGTGAAACTGGAAGAACACAAACACACGTCCACTTGGAAAGACGAGGAGATTCCAGAGCTGATCCTCTTTATATATGAACTTGAAGAACATAACAACAACAAACAACTGCTGCAGACTCAGTTCCTGTGTTTGTTTTTGTGAAATAAAACTGTCTGAAGCTTGTTTCAGCCTGTTCAGCCAGACAACCGCACCCTGTACTCAACCACAAGGCATGCTGGGAAACACCAGCACACTGAGTTGTGTGTGTGTGTATAGAGCTGCACTTCATGTTTCTAAGAGAAAAACACAGACCAACCAAACGGAATCGTCTGGACACACATGACCAGGGACCTCGTCTGGACATGAACCAAAGGTCACATGACACAGTCCTAGTTAATATCCGTCATGTGTTCGAAACCTCATCAACACGTCCACTCGCCAACTGGGAAGGTTCCAGATGTTATCCTGCAACACCTCGACTCTGCAGGGACGTACGCCAGGATCCTGTTTGTGGACTTCGGTTCGGCGTTCAACACCATCGCTCCAGACATCCTCCACACAAAGCTCACCCAGCTCACTATGCCCTCCTCCACCTGTCAGTGGATTACCATCTTCCTGACTGACAGGAAGCAGCAGGTGAGGTTGGGGAGCATCACATCCAGCATCCGGACTATCAGCACTGGCGCCCCCCAGGGGTGTGTGCTCTCCCCACTGCTCTTCTCCCTTTACACCAATGACTGCACCTCTAAATTTGCAGACGACACAACGATCATCGGCCTCATCCAGGACGGTGACGAGACTGCTTACAGACTCGAGGTTGAACGGCTGGTACTTCCTGCGCCAGCTCAGGAAGCTCAACCTGCCTAAGGAGCTGCTGTCACAATTCTACTCTGCCATCATTCAGTCTGTTCTCTGCTCCTCAATCACTGTTTGGATCTGCCACAAAACAGGAAAAGAACAGACTGCAACAGACAATTAGGTCTGCAGAGAAAATTACTGGTGTCAGCCTGCCCTCCATCCAGGACCTGTACCTGTCCAGAGTCAGGAAACGGGCAGGTAACATCTCTGCAGACCCATCACACCCTGGACACAAACTGTTTAAACTTCTCCCCTCCGGTAGACGCTACAGAACACTGTACGCCAAAACATCCCGACATAAGAATTTTTTTTCCCCCCTCACGCTGTCTCTGTGTCAAACAGCTAAAACCGGACTCAAATATCAGTAACATCACCTGTAAAATATCTGTACATACATTACACTGTATATTTATTATTTCATCCATGCACTATGCACCAAACTATTTGTCTTTTTTGTACATAGCTTTTGTTTTTGTCTTTGTTCTTGTTTATCTCTATGTTTGTTGGTTGTTTAACTGTTTGTACCAAGAGAGCAAAGTAAAACCGGAGTCAAATTCCTTGTGTGTGTTCACATACCTGGCAATAAAAGTGATTCTGATATAAGAGTTGACAGAGACACTGTATGTTCTATACTTCGCTGCAGGGTTAACCTCTGTTTCACTTAAAGTTTTAACATCAGCTACATAGCTAACTCCATGTCTTTGCTCACCAACATCTGTCTCCAGAGGTGGAAATACTGTGAACGCCTCTTCCTCATTTCCATACTTCTTTACTTCTACTGAAGTTAGTATGCTAACCAGCTAGCTGTTGTTGTATTTTTGGCCATGTAGCATTGTCAGGAAGTTGAATGAATCTGCTATGAACTCTTTGGAGCAGTGTGATTTAGTTGGTACATCTATCTTTTCATTCACAGCTGACTCTGCTGCTCTGCTTCCTCCAGTGTGTACCAACATGTCCGTCTCGCTGACACCGGACTTCAGAGTTACAGAGTGAAGCCTGACAGGAGACAGGAGACAGTATTTCCTAGACAGCTGCTGTGAAGCAGTGAGTAAAATTAAACAGTCACGGTCAGGTGTCAACACACAATCCAACCACAATGAGACAATTACAGTCAACATGAGTCCAAGTGTTTAGATCTAAACTTTA